TTAAAGAAATAACATGCCATGGAGATTAGTTTTTGCCTATTTTTCATTCCCTCATCTATCTGGTCACTGACTGCTAAGTGAAGTCATAGCTCACTGTACCACATGGTATGAAAGATACCAAAGAAGGTGATGGCCTCTCTTCCTTAAAGGTGCTGAAAGTGTGGCTGAATGAGAAAGAGACGCCCACAGGGAATGAGAATGTCGGCCAAAGAGGTTTCATTAGTTGAGACAGAACAAGTGGAAGTAAGTGATACCATACCAGGCCAGCATACGCCTTCGAAGTCGCCACCTTCAGGGTTCTTCACAAAGAAGCCCTGTTGTTTGGCTTTAGCGTAGACTGTGTAGTCAGGGTCCACCTTGATGTGGGGGTCACTGATAACCACAAGCTGTCGGGACAGAGACTTTAAGACCATGTCAGTCTTAGGAGACTTATGTTCATTTAGGTGTCTTCACCACAGTTTTGGGGTGGGGGGTCAAGTTTTTACTCAGAAACTACATTGAAACTCATTGAAACTCATTGAAAATTTTGGACATTAGTAAATCCCTGTAACTTTTCATTCAAAAACTGTTATCAAATCCAGGTGAACCCTCTGTTATGATTATCATGGTTTATCATTTTTATTATCATTTTACATTTGTTTATGTATTTATTGTGTGTGTCTGTATGTATGTCTGTCTGCAGTCAGTTCTCTCCTGCTCCTAGGTGGGGCTTGAACTCAGGTTCTCAGACTTGGTAGCAGAATGCCTTTATCCACTGAGCCATCTCAGCAGCCTTATATATGTCTTTAAGGTGATATTTATTGAGGAATGGGTTCAAAAGGCAGCTTGAATTTTAGGGGGACAGATTATATCATTTACATGCTACAAATGGGGTTGTCCTCCTCCTTTCCCCATTTCTCGTGTCTCCCTCCCCTCTTTATTACTGTTTCTTTCCTTTTGCAGAACAGAATACAAGCATTATGTACTTCTCAGTGGCTTCCCTCCTTCTCTTTTTAAATTTCAATTCTGTCCTTGGCAAATTTACAGGGAGAGTCTGTCAGCGAAACATGTTTAAAAAAACAAAAAGATCTGATAACATTAAAAAAATTATACTTGGGGCTGGAGAGATGGCTCAGAGGTTAAGACCACTGGCTGCTCTTCCAGAGGTCCTGAGTTCAATTCCCAACAATGACATGGTGGCTCACAACCATCTATAGTGAAATTTGGATCTCTCTTCTGGCCTGTAGGTGTACATGCAGACAGAACACTGTATGTATAATAAATAAACCTTTAAAAATTATACTCTTCTATTTTTATGTGGAGCGGGGGGGGCACATGCTTGTCATGGAGGTCAGAGGACAAATGGCGTTAGTCAGTTTTCTCCTTCTACCATGTGGGACCCTAGGATCAAACTCAGGTTGTCAGGCTTGGGGGGTGGGGATCAAGCACCTTTACCTGCTGAGCGGTCTTGGTCCCCAGGACTCCACTGCTAAGACTTAACTTAGGCCCTACAGCATCCTCTTACCCTTCTGGCCACCTGCACTCAAGCTGACAAAGAAAGCCCAGGGGCTCCCTTCTTGGTTAGCAGCAAGAAGTTAGACAATTCAGCCATGTGGAAGAACTCTTATTCCAGCTACCATGGAAACTGAGCTAGTCCCCTTTTCCAGTGGTCTCAAAACATTTTCAAAGTAGATTGGGAGACAGCTCTGAGCTCTCCAGGAGGCCTCTTTATGTTAGAAACTTTTCTGCTTCTGGTGTCTGTACACTTACACAAATTTTGACAATGGAACCAAATTTTTAGGAGTGAAGGAAACAGCAGAGAAGCTGCCAAAAGGGGTCTGACAGTCTCGGGCCCCTTTACTGTCCTGGGGTCTGCACGACAATGGCCGGGATGGGGGTGTTACCACATTTTAGTACCCTTCTTGACCTTTTAACACCTAACTTCTCTTACCACAGTTACATTAGAAGGCTCTATTTCCACAGCCATTTTTTATCAGATTGTCTTCTTCTGCTGATGTGCCAAGACAAATTTTACATGTCCTTTAAACGTTGGGATTAAAAAGCTTTAGACATCAGGCTGACTTCACCTTCCGTTTTTTGCTCCTGAGCAGCTCTTGCATCCTTCTGGGGTCTGCAAATCTCTTTTTGTCCCAGGTGAAGTACTTCTTGTCCTCGGTGTGCTCTATGTCCAGCCACATGACGTCATATGGAATGTCGTGCTCATCAAAGCCTGCATCCACTGCCTTCACATCCTGCTCGTCTTCATAGTTCCAGCGACACTGATGGTACCCCAAGGAAAAAAGAGGGGGCATGGCTTGTGTGCCTAAGGAAGAAGATGGCAGTGGAGGCCACCAGTATTATTCAGGGACCATCTTCCCAATCTTTACAGTATTAAGCACTGAGCTTGATACTACATAAAATATCAATAGACCCTGCCTAGAAGAAAGTGGCAGTCAGGGCGATTTGGAGGGGTATAAATAAACACTGACCTGAGATATGACTATTATGCCAGAGGTATAAGTCTAGCGCTGTGGGAACACATACGTTCTGCTTTCAGAGTAATGTGAGATCTGTAGAGCTTTCCCAAGGCATGTGAGAAGGATGGAGTAGGAGGATGCCAGGCAGGGAGACAAGGTAGAGCACATAGGAACAGAGAATAAAGATGCAGGCAAAGAAGTACACGTAGCCTTAGAGAAAATAAATGCTGCGGGGAATACAGTGTGAGAGACTAAGAGAAGTTGAAACTGGAAAGGATCTGGTTATAAAGAGCCCTGTACTTCAGGTCAGAATTATTCTCATGATTTTTTTTAAACACAGGACGACATATCAAACGGCAAAATGGCAGCTGTGGGTGCAGCTCAGGTGGTAACTACTTGCCTAGTGTGCACAAAACATCGTGTTCAAAATTCCTGGCACCCTATAACACTGGTGGTGACGTATGCCTGTAATCCCAGCATTTGGGAGAGCTAGAGGCAGAAGAATCAGAAGCTTAAAGTCAGACTTGTCTACATAGAAAGTTCAAGGCCAGCTTGAGATGCATGAGACCCTGTCCTTAAAAAAAAAAAAAAGTGAGGCCAGTGAGATGGGTCAGTGGGTAAAGGTTCTTGCCACCAAGCCTGATGACCTGAGTTCTAGTCCTGGCTCACATGGTGGAAGAACTGAGTCATAAAAATAACTACAAAAAGAGGCTTTGAAACAAAAGTGTAACCCAAAGGGAAGTGCATTCAACACAGACCTGGAGGGTGGGAGATAAGGGAGGGGTGGTGCCTGCTGAACCAGGAAGGGTGTGTGAAGAGGGCACAAAGGAGCAGAAGAGCATGTCCCTGCTCAAGAAACCTGGACATGCTCCTAAAGTGCTAAGATATCAGACTCATGCAGGCACCAAGGGCTTCTATGCAGAGACACATGTTGGTGGCCTATAAGCAGCTCCAGGGGCTCAGATGCCTTCTCCTGGACCCCAAAAGCCCTTTATGTCAACACATATATACATAATTTTAAAATAAAAATAAAATCCTTATCATCAGTATCTATGGAGATGGAAAGAGATAAGAGATTCACAAAGTCAACCAGGACATCATAAAACTAGACTAGGGCATTGTAAAACAATGAGCACACAGGGAAAAAGAGACAGGAAAGGCCTCAACACTATACACATGACAGATAAGCAGACGACCTGGGAGATAAGATGAAAATTTCTCAGAAAAGAGGTGAAAAGAAAAAAGAAGAAAGGGGGCTGGACAGATGGCTCAGCAGTTAAGGGCACTCACTGCTCTTTCTGAGGATCTGGGTTCAAGTCCTAGCACCCACGTGGCAGTTCACAACTGTCTGTAACTCCAGTTCCAGGAATCTGACACTCTCACATTGACATACATGCAGACAAAACAGCAGTGCACATAAAGTAAATGTAGATAAATTTAAAACATTATTTTGAAAAGAAAGGAGGAGAAATAACAAGGACAGGAAACTATGAAAGGAATAGTAGAGCCTGTTTCCCAGGACCAAAAGTGTCCATGTCTCACCCTCAATACAGAAACCATTTTAAAGGGATGCATCAAGGGAATTTACTGTAAAATTTAAACATATTAGTGACAAGGAAAGTAGTTCAGTGGGAGAAGATAAGCCATGTGCAAAGGAACGCAATGAGCGGTTTTGGAGCAAGAAGACAGGGCACAAGAGAGAAATGCCTTTTAGTTCTGAGGAAAGCAACTTTCAGTTTAGCTGACGCAATTACCAGCCGAGAGTGAAGCTAGGAGAAAGAAGGCTTATTCCTTCAAGGAGTAAAGCATATGTATTTCCATTTATTTAGCCTGTGTGTATATGTGTGTGTTTGCCTGTGCATGTGTGCATGTATGTGCACTTGTGTGTGTGTTTACGTGCACATATAGAGACAACTTGTAGGAGTTGGTTCTCCGCTTCTACCGCGTGGGTCCCTGTGAGCAGACTCAGGTCTTCAGGCTTCTCTTTACCTACTGAGCCATTCTACTGGCCTAGGCCTTTAGTCTCTTAAATAATAAATCTTTTGTTGCTAAAGCCAGTAATATAGTTTAACCGAGAAGAAAACATTCAAAAGTTCAGGATGGATACTCCTTAGCCTCAGGGAGATTATTCCCAAAGACTGAAGGCTTCAAGCAGGCATATGAGAAGGGTTAAGGATTAGAAAGTAAACAGTCTAGAGCGGTGGCTCCCAACCTCCCTGATGCTGCGACCCTTTAATACAGCTCCTCATGTTGTGGTGACCCCAACCAAAAAATTATTCTGTTGCTACTCTGTAGCTGTAATTTTGCTGCTGTTGTGAATCTTAATGTAAATATCTGACATGGGACTCTCCTTTGGGAGAGTTGAGAGCTACTGGTCCAGAGGTACATTTAGCTTGTTGGGATGTAATGAGGATGAGAAGAAAATGCTTGCTACTTAAAGTGTTTGCCATTTCTACATAATGCAGAACAAATATTAATTTGCAGGGATGATACCTAGGGCATCACAATGGGAACACAATGGAGAGAGGAACGCACGTACCCGTGATATATGAATATTGCTTGAAGACGTCAGAAGGGGAAGGTCCTGTCAGCAGGAAAACATCAATGATCCCACTCTCTGACATCCAGCGCACATTAGTTCGACACCTGACCTTTTGCTTGGCAGCCGCTGGGCCCATCTGGGTCAGTGTATACTGGAAAAGGATGTAATGAAAATATTTCACTGTACACTAAGCACCCAGTTCTATGTGATTCAGCCTACACTTAGTAGCTCCTACTGACATTCGTTGATTGCACTGCAAAGCTCTCAGTCACAGAAAAATGCTTCTGCAAAGAAAAGGGCTCTGACTACAGTGTGGTAAATATGGCAGGCAGCCACATTCCATAGCTCACCTCAACCGCTGGCTCTGTGTTGATCTCCACTAGTGTTTCTGAGGCATTCAGCCAGAAAACGCCTACAGTCCTGCCCTGTTTGTGGGCCAGGAGATAAGGCACTGAACCATATATGCCCATTTTATCATGTACTTGGTATCCATAAACGTCCAGATTGTAAAGACGGTATGCATCTCCATCTCTGAAACACAGAAGAGGCTGATCACCAAATACACAAGTGGATTGTTTGTGAATAGAACAGCTTCATCTTCTTCTGTAAATAGACCTTTTACCTCCTGCCAGGCATGAAGGCACATACTTATATAATCCCAGCACTTGGAAGGTAGGAGAACTTTGAGCTAGAGGCCAGCCTACGCTGTAAAGTGAGTTCTAGACCGGCCTGGGCATGTAACTAGACCTTATATAAAACCACTTCACTACAAAGACTCATCTATCACTTGCCTAAAGGTTACCTGCCCCAACCTGGTGCACACGATCCATCTCCTTTGTTTCCGTTGGTTCCCTCCAAACCTTAGGTTTAGATCCTGAGATACTTTTTCTAAATGTCCTCTGTGAATTCTCCAGAATGGCAGACACATTAAGAATCCTCTGCTGCCAAAGAAGTGCATCCAAACATACCTCCAGAGAGCTGAGCCAGGAAAGATCTGGAACAGGTTTGGAAGTGGGAGCTCCAACTTGGGGTGGTGGGACTAGTCACCATGCCTGCCTAGGAAAATCTCCAGACCTGACAACTTTAATCAACCTCTGCTTCTCTTTGGTTTGGCTCCTCTTAGACAGATGCCTCCTGGATCCATTTGTCAGTAGTGTCAGCCTGAAATGTCTCTCCAAGGAAATCTTAGGTAATTGGAAATGCCACATTTTCTAGCTCAATGTCCTCTTTTCTACATCAGTTTCTTTTTTAAGTATTCTCCCAGGGTTCCCCAAAAATATCCTGCACAGAACATCCACTTTAATTCCAATTACTCCTTATTTTTATTTCTGTAGTTTTTGGGTTCACTATTATAGTTTTTTATTAATGTGAGTGCGTGTGCATGCACGTGGAAGTCAGAGGACAGCTTTGCGGAGTTGGTTCTTTCTTTCCACCTTTGTGACCTAGTTTCACTTCTGTTGTTCACAAAAAGTAACTTGGGAAAAAAGGCTCATTTGGCTTACAGAGAGAGAATGAACGTACAGACCCTGGCTTAAACTAGAGTATAGTCCGTATTGTAGACATTCACAGTCAAGGAGCAGAGAGAGAATAAACATGCAGATCCCTGCTTGCTTGCTTGCTTGCTCTTACCAAGCTTTTCATTCTCTTATGCTGTTCAGGACCCTGAAAACTTCCAGAAAGGTTTCTTAAGTCCCTTAAGTAATATTAAGCCAGAGACTAGTTAAACATTCTTGCTGTCACTTACCTAGTATTTTTCAGCTGGTGTGACTCTGCATGTTGAGGGATACCATAGAGATGTTCAAATCCATGAAAGGAGAAATCCAAACCAATAGAGGAAGGACCTGTAGAGACAAGGATCATGGCTTAGTTTTGCTTCTCAATAGATCAATCTAAGAGATTGATATAGTTAGCTAAGAAAACGAGGCTGAGAGTGGAGAGATCTGAATTTGCCCCAACCTAACAGTGTTGTGCACTGGTTTTTAAGAGTAAGATGCCGTGGTGTTTGGGGGCTGGTGGACGTTTATGCATGTGTATGAGAAAGTGAATGTATATGCATAACGTGTATAAATGAAAAGCTCCGCCCGCTTACTAGCTATGCTGCCTGAGCCGTGTGTTGAAGCTCCTTGTGCCCTTTGGTACTGAGTACTTTTAATCTTTGCTGGACAAGTTCATGCTTGTCTTCACCTGATAATCTTCCTGTCAGCCTGTCTGTGGCTCTCTATAAGAACCACTGTCAAGAATAGCATGAAGGCCTTTCCTAGATCTGCAACATATGACTTCCTGTGGTTGTGATTTGTGATATGTGAGCTCAACCAAATTGCTCAGCCTGATGAGACGCAGCACCTGGGACAAGGATGAGGAGGCCTAAAAACATGAGAGTTACTGGCTAGAAATGTTAGAGCAGATGAGCTGTACAACTTGGGTTCTCATAAGAATAGAATGTGGAATTTACAGCTGTCTGATTTACTCAAAATGGCAAGCTGTGTGCTGGCCCAGGCCCTTTCCTGAGACCATAAGCTGTACATGGCCCAAGTATCTCTTTCACTCTTCTATAAGGTATATATAATGACTTCACCATTGCAATGCATTATTGAAGAATAGAGAGGCCAACCAGGAGATTTCTTTCACATTACAGAAGCTACTTGTTTTAGGTGCCAAAGCTCAAGGCTCAAGGAATCCATCCATCTATCTATCCATCTATCCATTTCTCTCTCTCTCTCTCTCTCTCTTTCTCTTTACCTACCCACCTACCTATTTATGACACTGGGGATTGGAGCCAGGATGCCCCACATTAGCCAAGCACTCTATCACAGATCTGTGTGCCCAGACTTCAAATGAAGTTTGATATAAATGTTTGGCAGTTTTTATTTTAATCCTAGGTGTGGGATACGGGGCTGCTTTAGTTTGTTCACAGCGGTTAACTATGATTGTCCTGTGGTCTGAGAGAAGTGTGACCTATTTTAATATCATATCATTAACTCTGACAATTTACCATTAGCTTTGACATCCACAAAATTTCCAAATTTCTCTTCCCATAGGCCTAGATCCTCTTGATTTTCCTATTTGTAGAAAAATAAAATAAAATATGAATTTATAAACTGCAACAAATGTTACATTATAGATTTTTATGGTAACAAGATATCTTATTTGGATGATGAATGATGATGATGATGATGATGATGACGATGATTAGAGACAGGGTTTCTCTGTCTAACAGCTCTGGCTGTCCTGAAACTTGCTCTGAAGACCAGGCTGGCCTACGAACTCACAGAGATCTGCCTGCCTCTGCCTCCCCGAGTACTAGGATTAAAGGTGTGAGCCACCATCCCCTGGCCATTATTTGGATTATTAAAAAGATCGAGACACTGGCAAGATAGCTGAACAGGTTAAGGCCCTTACCTCATAATCATGCAAGCCTAGCAACCCAAGTTCAACCCCTGGAACCCACATAAAAGTGGAAGGCAAAAAGTACTCCTGCAAAGTTGTCCCCTGGAATCTGTATGCATACCGTACTTTCCCCAACACATTCATCACACACATTCATGCCATTACTACTAACAAAGAAATTTAAAGACTGAGAAAATGCATGGTGTGTTACCATATGCCGTTAATCCCAGCACTTGGGAGGCAGAGGCAGGTAGGTCTCTATAAATTCAAAGCCAGCCTGATTACATGCTGAGGTCTCCCACACCTCCATCCCCAAGAAAAGGAGAAAATTAGTTCATACTTTAAAAAATTGGTTCATAATGTATATTTAACAAATCAACTCTGTGCTTTCTATAAAAGTCAATACTCATGAACCTTTCTTTCTTTCTTTCTTTCTTTTTTTTTACTGTGTTAAAATACATAACATACACTTTATCTTTTAACCACTTCTAAGTACAGAGGTCAGTGTCACCAAGTCCATTTGCTCTGTGGTATGAGGATACCCATCACCAACCATCCAGCTCCACAAATTTTTCATCTGCCCAAATTGGACTTCCCTACTAAATAACAACTCTCCATTTCTCTCTCTCTGCACTCCTGGCAATACCATTCTATTTGCTGTTCTATGAATGTGACGTTAGTCACCTCATAAAGTGGAATCGTAGAGTATTTGTTCATTTGTGACTAGCTTGCTTCACAGGCTGTCTTTAGCTCTTGCTCACTTTGTGGCAAACACATCAGAGTTTTCATTTTTAAAAACAAGTACTATTTCACTGCATGCATAGATCACAGTTTGGTTTTGTTATGTGTTCCTTCCTCCTTATGATTACTGTGACTAATGCTGAAGAAACATACAAGAAACAGTACTATTGGGTCATATTGTAATTCCAAGTTTAATTTTTTGAGGAACAGCTTTATATGGACTAAAATAAAAGATTTTTTTAATGCAGCATTTGCATGTAAAAGAACTAAAAGGAATTTTTTTCTTTTCCCTTCATTTCTTCCTTCCTTCTTTCTTTCCTTTTTTTTTTTTTCTTTTAATGAATCAGGGTTTCTGTTTGTAGTATTGACTGTCTGGAACTCTCTTTGTAGACCTGGCTGGTCTCAAACCCATAGAGATCCACTTGCCTCCATCTCTTGCATGCTGAGAGTCAAATCATGTATCACCATTACCTAGCAAAGGGAAATTTTCATGTAAACACATGAGGTAAAACACTAAGAATCTAATAGCTTGGGTCAGTTTTAAGTTTTCCTCACATTTATTTATGTGTTGGAGGGCTACATATGCCTCAGTTCACATTAGAGGTCAAAGGACAACCTGTAGTGGAAGTTTTGGTTTCTTTAAAAACTCAGTTCTGTTATGTAAACTTGTTTTTGTTTTAATCCCAGGTGTGGGATATGGGGACGCTTCAGTTTGTCCACAGCTGTTAGCTATGATTGTCCTGTGCTCTGAGAGGGGCGTGATCTTTGCCAGCTGTAGATAGTTTAATTCTGAGGACTCTGAGAGGGTGTAAGTGCTAGGTCCCACAGAGGGATGCAGGCGCTGGAAGGAAGATTCAGCTGCTGCTCTCCTTGCTGCTGCCCACCACTGCTGCTGGTTCGTCCTGCTGGACTTTCTGACTACAAAGACTGGACTTGCCCCAAGGAACAAAGTCTAAAGAGGTCTCCATCCCCTTTCCCCTCTAACCTTCTTTCTCTCCTACCTAGTGTTGGGGGGTTGGGAGGGAGGCAGAGGTATAAAGCATGCCAACAACAACCCACAGGAGTTAGCGCTCTCCTGCCGTGTGGGTTCTGAGGACTGAACTCAGGTCATGTTGGTAGCATCCCTGAGCCACCTTCTTGTTCCTGTTCAATCGGGTGTATATTTGTGCTGGTTTGAGATGTCAGATAAAATGGGAGGACAGTGAGTTCTCAGGTCTCGCCTCTTTCTACAGCTACAACTTTCTTAATTTTACATAAGAATGAGAATAAATAAATTATGTGTGAAAGAAATTTTGTTTGGGTTATTTGTTTATTTCTAGCTTATTTTCCACCATGAAACCTTCTGTAAAGTGATCCTGTGCTTCTTCGAAGTCACATCTGAATGCCTGAGATAGGGACTATGCTGCCCTGGGGCCAGGCATGGACTGAGTCTTCGAACTCAAACAGTTGAAATTTTTCCTATAGAGATGGTTCATAGCAGTCATAGAATTTTTGTGATGGGGTCTGTGACTCAAAGCTGCTGCTCCAGCAGTCTAATCAGCTATCTCCCCAAAGCGGACTTGACAAGTCACCACAGCCCTGTGTACATCCATGCACTTGTATTCTCTGCTCAGAAACCAAAAGCTTTCTCACATCCATCAATATAAATGAGTCTTAAGAAAGAGCAGACCTTGTCCTTAGGGCACCAGAAATACTTTTATCATTGCAAATGGCCACAGCTACTGCCAAGACTCTGTGAGACATTATGTGGCTGTGAATGGAAAAAAAAAAAAAAAAAAAAGAATTGCTCGTCAGGTGTGGTGGTCCATACACATAACCTCAACACTTGGGAGGCTGAGGCAGGAGGATTGCTGTGAGTTGGAGGATAACCTGGGCTACATGGTGTGTTTGAGACCAGCCTGGGCTACAGTGTCCTGGGGAGGCAGCTCAGTGGTAAAGCACTTGCTGCTCAAGTGTAAGAACTGGTGTTCAGTCCTCAGCATCTGTGTCAAGTCCGGTAGACGTAGCGGGATGCCCTGGGGAGGCAGACAGGACCCCCCAGACCAGCTGCCTAGAGACTAGCTGAGTCAGTGAGTTCAGGCGAGACTGCCTCAATGCATAAGGTAGAGAGCGATTGAAAGTAACATCTAATGTCAGCCTCTGCCCCCCCCCCCCCACGTACACATGCATGCACAGACATGCACAGACATGTGCATAGCACGCCCACATACACAAAAACACAAAAGACTTCTATGTGGTCTATTTTTCAATAACTCAGACAAAAATAATCTGATAAAAACAGAAGCGAGACCATGTACCTCTGTGTTTAAAACCTTCTTTGTTCTGGGAGTAAACTGAGAAGTTTACACAGCTTAAAAGAAGGTACACTCTGTGATAGATAGGGAACTTAGATCTGTTTAATGATGAGCTACCAGTTCCTTCACCAGTGCCTGCCCTGGAGGAGATGGTCTTCAATAGATTGTGTTAAGAGAACATTGCTGGTCTATCCACACAGCAGCCCTGCCTCTTTAGCACTTGTCAGAAAGAGACCTGACATTGATTCCAGGCCTCTATATCTGGCATAAACACACACAAAGATAAGATGCTAAGATGAGCAAAAGACAAGGCCAAGTACTCCCCTTCAGCACAGTAGCACATTTATCAAGCACCTTTCTGGAGAAGAGGTGGGGAATCTCCTATTGCTCACGAACGGGAGCATCAGGAGGAATCAAGGGTAAATTGCTGGATCTCAGTTTACCTGAGCAGCATCAGCTGGTGCACTCTCCTCGTTTCCTTTGGCAGCTCTGTTATAAACACAGAGAAAGTTGTTTCACTCAGTGGGAAGACTGGCAGTATTTAATGCAGTAATAAAGATTTTCATTTCCAGGTCTTCATAAATTCTGTCCTTTAGTTTATCTAAAATGATGTCATATTTAATAAATATGATATCATTACAGTGATGTGCATGGTGGCACAAAACCAACCCAAGATTTAGAGGGCTAAGGTAGGGTAACAGACGTGCAAGCTCATCGTTGCCTGAACAGTAATTTCAAGGCCAGCTAGGAGTGGCAATATGGCTCAGTGGGTAAAGGAGCTTGCTGTTAAGACTGTGGTAGTCTGGAAGAGATGCTTCCTCCGTTCTTACCAAGTGTTATTTTAAATCTCCCAGTCTGTACTTGCTATTTTTATCATCAGAATAAGTAAAAATAAATTTGTATTATTTATTACCATAAAATGATTCTTTTAAAGTTGTAACTTATCATTTTGGAATGTTAGCATTGGAAACTCTTACTATTTATCATAAAAGTAATATATTCATTAAAAAATAATGAAAAGAAGAAAAGTTTAAACCTACAATGCCAATCTACTCTGTTATTATCTTACAAATATTCTTCCTATTGGCTACTTTTCTGATGACTAAGGCAGCTCACAGAAGGGAACGCTTATGTGGGTTTAGGATTCCAGAGGGGTGAGAGTCCACGATGGTGGTAGTGGGGGCAGCGGACATGGCAGCTACAGCAGAAGCAGAGGGCTACGTCTTGAACCACAAGTAGGAAGCAGAAAGTGAACTGGGGATGGTGTGTGTTGTTTTACTCTCAAAGCCTGCTTCTGGTGGCATACTTCCTTTAACAAGGCTAGACCTTCTAAGCCTTCCCAAACAGCACCACCAGCTAGGGACCAAGTATTTAAATGCCCAGGACTATGGAGGACATCTTACTTAAACCATCATATTCTTCAACTGCTTTTTTATTTAAATGGAGAAACACTGAACACAGCATATCAAAAATTTTAGTACATAAGCTCTTCAACCTCCTTTAAGATTTTTTTTGGGGAAAGAGGAGAGAAAGACATTTGCTATGAAAGCATGAAGACTTGAGTTCAAGGCAACCGGTATTTACAGATGGGTTTTGTTAAGGTAGGTCCTTAAGGGTCAAGTAATGTATCCAAATACCTCTGCTTGTGAGGAACCTGCAGGTGCTCAAAATATAACTGGCCCAGGGAGTTGACACTGATCACAGCCTCATTCTCAGACACCAAGTCTATCTTGAATGGGTTTGCTGAGATACAACACTTCAGATCTCCTTTTCCATCTGTCAGTATCAGGCTGCCTATATCCCCTGAGCAAGAGACCAGCCTGGAAAATGAAACAGGAAGAGAAAAAGAAATTGCAACAGGTTGACATGATTCTATATAATTTGTAACTCAAGAGTGTTGATTAGGAAATCAATCTTCCTCCGACAGAATAGGGAGCTCTCATGGACAGTGAAGAGAAGAGCTTGAGGATAACTCTACCGTACACTTCATAATTACAGGTCACAAAGCCACTCCACCCTTCTAGGACTAATTCTTTGGGGAAAATTAAGTGAAATCATGCACGAGAAGCAACTGGTATAGGTTGGACACACAAATAAATGTTCATTATCATCATCATCCTCATCATCATTTCTGTCTAGTACACTTGGCCACCCAGAATCTAACTATTGTTTATTTTTAAATTACATCTTAAAAACTTATTTTGTGTGCCGTGTGTGTGTGTGTGGGGGGTGTGCCACAGACTTAGAGGCAGCACCTGTTTCTGCTGGGCCAGCTCACTGGTACTGTGAAAACCTTACACTTCTTTAGGCAATTCTTGTCCTCATGAGCCTGGCTTTATTGCTCTCTGGGCTAGCTGGGATCTGACAAATGGTTTGAAGGCAGTGAAGGCTGGTAAAGATGAATCACAAGGAACACGGAAACCCCTTTGCAAAGTCTGTCTCAGCTGAGGTCCATTTGGTGTTCAGGCGAGACAGGGCAAACTTTGTCAGGAGTAGGAAGGTGACAGAGAGACAGATCAGGAGCAATTGTGGAGGACTCACATTTGGCAGATCATGACTGCTTGTAACTCTACCTCCAGGGGATATGACACCATTTCCTGACCTCTTCAGGCAATTGCACATGCTTAGCGTGAGTGTGCATAGGAAACATTGACAAGGAGCAGCAGGAAGGTGGGCTTCTGCTAGAAATGAAGGCTCAATGGGCTGGGAAACATGGGCATTTAGAATTACCCAACTCTTCTCAGATGCAGGCATTTACTACTTTTTGCAGTTAATGCCCTAAATCTGAGGAGACTGTGAACTTAGTTTATGACCTAATTCAGCAACGTGTGATATCAACCTCTGAGTCTGTATTTGCAGCTATAGGGACTCTGAAGCTATCTATGTATGATGGGGAACAGTCATTGAAACTGGTTAGTTTCCTAACAATGCTGTGAGTTCAGAATTTAAAACCCTGAGACTGTTGTTTTATGTCATTAAACACTTCAGAGAGGCAGCCAGGCCACCTCATAGTTTTGAATTCTGAGTGACAGTCACAATGTCCCACCACGTGGATAGGAACTCCTGGCCAGCAGGGCTTCAACGGGGTTCCTAAGGGAGGAGAGTGGAAGGAATTGGGGGGGGGGGGGGACAAGAAGCGCAAGAAAGGAAGCCAAGTCTGTTTGTCTGATCAAGGCTTCATTTATTGGAAATTTTTACCCAACTTATATAGGGAGAAGGCAGGAAAAGGGGGAAGGTGATTAGCTGCTGCAGGAGACAGGAAGAGTGCTTTCATGGGTTAAATATTGTACCTGCAAGGTGCCGTAAAGATGTTTTCTTAAGCTATCTCACGGATGCTCTAAAACTAACAGACGGATGTTCTCACGATCAATCACCCATGATTTCGGGTCCTAGGTAACTCTTCAACTAAATAGCTTTAGGTCTCCAGTAAATGACCTTTGCTCACTACTTGGCTTTGGCTTAAGTAAATAGCTTTGTCTCCACTAGATAGCTTTGGCTCACTGTTTGACTTTGGCTTCAGTAGATAGCTTTGGCTCCCAGCAGAAACTTAAGCACGAGCACAGAGTGCTGTGGTTTACTCCTAGTTGTGTCAGTTTGTTGGGTTATCATAACAAATTACTACAGGCCAGGTTGTTTATAAAGTGGTTTATTTTCTCACAGTTCTGGAAATCTAAGACCAAGGTGTTAAAAGATTGGTTTCTTTCTCTCTCATTTTTTGCTTTTTTAAGGTTGATTATAAGGCCTGTTTCCATGGCCTGCAGGCGGTTGCCTTGTCACTAAGTATCCCTGTGTATGTGTCACTATAGCTTTCTCATCTTATAGGGCCAACAGTCGTGATTTATTAAGGCCAACTATCAAGCTCTCATTTTAACTTTATCACTTTAATATATCTCTGTCTCTAAATATGGTGTTCTGAGGTACTGGGGATGAGGGCTTCAGTCTACAAATTTTGGGAACAGGGAGACACAATTCTGCTCCTAACACTGGCATTCTATCCTTTAAGGGCAGCCAGGTTTTCACTGCCTTCCCTATCAACTAGGTTAGCTTGTTAATCTTAAAACCACAGCCAGTCACTTGTACCTATTTCAGATATCAACTACTTTCTCAAATAGGGCTTGACTTTTGATAACAGAAACAGCTCTGGCTATTTCAAGTAGAAAACAACGTACAAACAGAACTGGTTGTCTATAGCATCATAAGGAGGATTTAGGTACCAGGCTTCAGGAAGTCGAGAAATCAGAAGTCACTGTGGCTATTGTCTGGTTTAAGGATCATGCCATCTTAGCTGTAATAAGATCGGGGCACCGTGGCCCCAACTAATGGCCTTTGAGCCAGTCCACAGCTGCCAGATCTATATAAGCACAGTACTGAACATTACACGAATCAGTATACATGATGTGCAGAAACTGAATCGCATCAGAAACTCTAGCTACAAAGGGGTCTGGGAAAGAGAAAAAGGCTGCTTTCAGTATTCAGTTATTTTGGTAGCTGAAGGTTCCCTAGAAAATAGTTGGAACCGAAGCAGAGTAACAGCAATATTTACCACACAGTATTTATATAATCTTTACTATTTACTGATCATATGTCTTCATGGAAAAACAACCTACATAAAACTATGGTATGGATATGGAGAAAAATTAAAGCATGTGCCTTAACCTTATATTCTTTCAGAGACAAAACAACAGGAATCACAAGACAAAGCAGCTGACATTTTACAGAAATGTCTGGGGAGAACTGATGGAAATTCTACAAGTACTTGAAAATGCTTTAGTCCTCAGAGACTGTTTTCACCTAAATACTGATCATTAATTTATTACTGGCTCTAAGTAAAATTAAGTGTTAGGCTTCTGAGAATATCCTTAATTAAAAGGGAGTCTGTCTAACTATATAAATTACTGTGAGAGTTAACTAGTGTATTAAGTCTCTTGAGCCACGGTGCTAATCCAAGTGAGAAAATTAAATAGCTTTTCTTAGACTTAGTTCCAAACTCTGACTAATAAACTACTTTTCTTGTGAGAAACAGAGCAGGCCCAAAGTTCTGTCTCTTCTCATTTGGAGGTACAAAACAAGTTTTGGTATGGGAGACAAAGAAAACAGAAGAGGTAATATAGAACATTTATAAACTGATTGTAACTTTGAACGGACAAAATAGGGGGTGCACAGGGAGTCTAGTCAAGGTGTGCTGAAAGAATGTGCTGAGGCTGTGCATAATACACCCTGTCTGAGGCTTACCTTACAGTCTTCAGCTTGCTGCTGACGACGTCGGGGACTTCATACCTTGGTTTCAGTGGGGTTTCTTCATTGATCTTAAGTCTGAAAATGTTTTTCTCTATACCGTAAACTTCAGCTCTGAGAGGAATCTGGGATTAGAGATGCGAGGTTAGCTTCATCAGGTTATCTCAGTGACAATCTGTTCTAACAGTCACATTACAGAAATTAGGAAAGCGTTCGTTTAAATTATTATGGGCCAAGCAAATTGGAGAATGCTGGCAATAAAATGAACATGTCCCAAATCTATGGCTGCACTTGCTTGGTTATAGCTGTAGGATAAGAAATATTTTGTTTGTCTGTGGTTAGGTAAGCAAATGATTATCCAAATCAGGATCTTTAGAGTGAAAGGGGTCTTCTACTAATAATTGAACTAGATAATTAATAAACTGCAACCAGATTTGAAAAAAAAATTGATACATCTGCCTAGGTTCAGATGTGCTAAGAATTTGGGTGTTAAATTCAGTGTAACCAGGTTCCAGCTGAGTAAAAGATGAAAGAAACAAGCCCAGGAAAAGAACTGACAAAAATGATGATCTTTGCAGTTCTTCAGAGTGGATGAAATGAGGCTTATTGAACTAAAATCAACAGACTTTTTATGGACAGGAATAATAATAGGCTTCTAGCGAACTTTCTTAAGGGGCTGGGAAATTTAGGTAAAAATTTCCTAAAAGAGGGATGGAAACTATAGAACTATAAAGAGAGTAAAGCTGAGAAAATAAAACTCAAAACATCGGCAGAAACCCCATGAGAAGGGAAATGGCTGGATTTGGGTCACAAAATGACGCCCCTAGATCAGAGGAAGACAATTTTTTAAACAGTACAACATGTGACACTGGTCCTACTGCAAGTTTGTCATGAAGCATGCTGCTGAGCTTTGGTTACACATGGTTTACCTCTGTGGTTGCTGTGTTGCTATGGCTCTGGCTCAATGGGAAAGTCCATGAGATGCAGAGTAAATGACTGGGTGTGGACGTGGTGAAAGCGGGAGACAGGCAGCACTGAAAACGTCAAGCAGCATTCCACAAGCCGTGTGATGGGAACCTTGCTTCCTGGACTGCAGGAGAGCAGTCAGGGCACGGTATCAGTAACACTGCCCTGGAGAGCGAGCGACCAGCTAGTGCTGTGGCTTGTAGGTGCATTTATAAGTTCGCTCTGACACAGGCTTGTGATAGCACTGACTACAACTACTGCTTACATGCTTACTTTTTCACATTTTTGAGTTGTCTTGAGAATGTCACCAGAATACCGACATTTGAAAATGCCCAAATAGAGAGCTGAAACTCTGTTAGATTATTAGCTTATCTATTCTCTACCAAGCTGCAGTTGTTTTATTTATTTATTTATCTATCTATCTATCTATCTATCTATCTATCTATCTATCTATCTATCTATCTATTTATTTGATCCTGGGTTTTTCTTTGTAGCCTTGGCTGTCCTAGACTCAATTTGTAGACCAGGCTGGCCCTTGAATTCAGTGATCTGTGATCTGCCTTCCTCTGCCTCCCTCAGTGCTTCAAGTAAAGGTTGTGTGCCGCATCCGGCTCCCCTCTAATTCAATTAACATTTGCTTTATATTTAATATTGCGATCACTGAACTCTTAGAGAAGATGGTACCAACATAAAATTTACATAAAGCTGAGATAAAAGTATGACTACAGAGCTAGAGGCAAAACGGGAAGGGGAATACTAATGTGTCTAAGGTGAAGGATCTGGGAAGTCTCGCTGGGGAGGAGCAACCTAAACAGGGCCTTCAGGAATTGGTGGGAGAATAAGTTAAGTTTTTATTGCTATGATAAGCACTATAACTAAAAGCAACTTGGGAAGAAAACAGTTTATTTCACGTTGTATCTTACAGTCTACCATGAAGGAGGTCAGAGTAGGAACGTGAGGCAGGAGCTGATGCAGACGCAATGGAGAGTGCCTCTTACTGGCTTGCTTTTCATGGCTTGCTCAGCTGTCTTTTTATACAATTCAAGACCACCTGCCCAGGGATGGCACCACCCACAGATAGCTGTGTTTTCCTACATCAATCATTAATTCAGAAAGTGCCTCACAACTCAGGGTAATCTGATGGAGGAATTCTTTCAACGGAAGCTCGCTCTCTTTCCAGATGATCCTGGGATCAGATTCTTTGTAATGTTTTCTGCTTATGAGTTAAATATGGTCAAATAATGTCAAGAATACAAACAGAACAAAACAAAACAGAAAAACGTAAACAATGGAATTTTATTATAAGTATCCTTTAGGGTTTTTTTCCCCCTGTTTTTCTTTAAATAAGCTAAGTGAGCTTTTGGGGGCCCCAATTTCAAGCCTTTGGTTGACAACTATTTAATCTTTCCCTTGTGCCCAACTGCCCGTAAGTATAAGCTGCACTTTTCTTCCTTTGGCAGCTGTCACCATAGCACACCAGCTGCTTTGAACAAGAGAGGCTTCATGAAAACTATACCCCAGCTGCAGAGAACACTGCAACCAACATGCTGCTGAACCCACACTTCTGCTTCAAGAGGCGTTGCTCCAGTGTGGAGACCTTCATTTGAGCTCTGGCAAGCCTCAATGGTCTACAGCTTCCCTGGAGGGCTGCTCTAGATCTTGTAACAGCAGTCCTCAATTAGGGCAGGGGGAGAACACCTCCCCTAGTAACTCAGCAAAGTATGTTGGTATAATGTTGTTGTGGAATGTACCCTTGCTCATTCAAGTGCTGATTTCTCTACCCCACTATCTGGTTTCAATCCGGACATTGCATTGTGATGCTTATTCAAACATCATCTGTCTCAAGTTTGTGTAAACATGCCACCATTTGTTTTCTGTATTGTCAATAAAACAACCAGCCCCAATGCTGAGCAATGGAGAGAATAGGGTGGGACATCCTGGTCTAGAGGGGAGAGGAAGGGAAGGAAGTGAGTAGGAGGCAGAAGCAGAGGTGAGCAGGCCAAGATTTGGAGCCATCAGGAGGGTCTTGGAACCAGGAGGAAAGATGAATTGGACCTAAGATATGACTAAGAGCAAATATAGTGGGTAAAATCTGAATGGTAGGAAACTCTGCAGGTTTGGAGGTTTAGGATGGAGTAACTATTGCCCAGCATTGTGCTCTAGGGTAATTAAATAAATCCTAGTCTCTGTGTGGTGATTTGGATATACAGCTGGATTAGGAATAACCACTGCCTAACTAAAAGAGAAATCAATAATAAATATTAATACCTACAACAAAAGTACCTTTCATTGGTAGGAATGTAAACTGTGCTATGATGGACAGTGGAATTACAACCCGAGTCAAAACATGCCACACTCCTTTCTAGATATAAATTAAACTGTTTTCAGCTTGTTTGCATATTATATTGTATTATTAATTTATTTTTTAGATGGTTTCAAACTTGCTGTGTAGCTAACAATTAACTTGAATTTCTGATTCTTGTTCCTCTACCTTCTAAGTGCCAGGATTACAGGAGTGTGCTATTCTTTTTACAATTGGTCTGAAAGACTTCTTTCAGACCCACCCCAACTCTTATGTTGCAACTTTAGGTTCTAGTAAGGCAGTTTCTGGAATATTTTGTTTATCTAGTGGCCTTTCTCAGAGGTAGAGCAAGCTTAGCTGGTTGCACAAATAGCTCAATGCATATTTGTAATCCTGGTACCTAAGACACAGGAGGACCATACGTTTTAGGCCTCCTAGGGTTATACAGTAAGAGTGAAGCCAAACTAGTTTCTACAAACACTACCTAAAAGTTCAAAATCAGTGGTAGTCTATACCTGTAATCCCAGAATTTGGGACATAGGGGCAGGAGGATCAGGAAATTCAGTCATCCTTAATTACCTAATCAGTTCAAGGGCAGCCTGTAATTCAGGGACCCTTTTTCACAAGCAGCCAAAACCAAACTAAAAGAAACCTAGAGCTTTAAGCTCCACTATCAGCAGTGACAACAGAGAAGTGCCTGAAAAGTTCCAACAGGAGCCTTTAAGAGTCCTGATACTCAAAGTTCAGAGCTGCAACACTAGGAGGTGCTGGAGCTCTAAAAAAGCAGAAAGTGGCATGACACCCACGGCGTGACATGGGAGGAGTAATGCCCAGAGCGGACTGAGAACCGCTGAGAAGTAGGGCTCCATGGCTGAGGCTCTGAACTGTAACACTAGAAGGCAGGACAAGAGTCCGATAACAGAAGAATCTGTAAGAGTTGGAACTAAGTAAATGAGAGGCTGTGGAGACTCAAAGACAAGAGTTGAGGACCAAGGTCGACAGAAACATTGGAGAGAGCAGCGAAGAGTTAAGAGTCAATGGTCCTGACGCTCAACTCCGGAGGTGTAACTAGTTGGTGTCAGTACTCTAAACCCACAGTGATAGGTCTCTGCTTTGTATACCAGGAATAGTAATCCTCAGCTTTGAAGGCTTGTGACCATAAGCTTTAGCTCTCAAAGCTGAGAGCCATAAGTCACTGAACTTGGAAACCCAACTTACAAATCTCTGCCACTCAAGGCTATCAAGGCTAAGGCAGCTGGGGTTCTGTAGCTCTGAGCAGCTGTTTGTGATAATGGCAAGCATAAATTTTCTATGAAGAACAATGGTGACCTTGTGCTAGCTTTTAGCCCGTTTCCCCAAGGGCAATTAGCCTGTCCAGGTATGGCTCCATTTGGCCAGTTCCCAATTAACTGCTTCTTGGCCACTCAGGATAAACAGTATCTGCTAAAGCGTAGCTGTACCCCATCTGCTGAGGAGGTGGCTAGTTGGCCAAATCTCATTCTAATCCCGCTTAGATGAAGAGGCAAGGAGTAACTTCATGCAGATGCTTAGAGATATACTTGGATCCTCAAAGAAGCTGCTAGAAGTATCTCTGGTGAGACCATGCTAACAGGCTGCAAAAGAAAGTAAAAATGTTTACAAATGTTTATCCAAACCAGAAGAAAACACCAAAATTAGCAACGTAAAGTACATTAAAGGTAAATGTCTAGTCCTGTCAGCCATGTTAATGCTACAGAAGACAACATACATTTTCATGTATTGATACAAAAAGACCAGGCCTCTATTTCTCAACTCGCATTACATTTTCATTCAAGGCATAAAGTTGATAACATTTGGACGGAAAAATAAAACCTGAACAGTACTTAAAAGTGAGTATCTTTCTAATCATGTTCCTTCTAGATTTTTTCTTCTAACAGTTTCTTTATTGAACATTTACTTGTATGTTTACAAACACATACTTTAAAAAAAACAAAAACAAAAACAAAACTCTCGTGTGATATTAGGCTTCTAGGAGCTCAAAAGGGGAGACCTCAAGATAGAATTATTGCCTTTATAAGAAAGTCCAGAATTTGCTTTGTCTTTCAATCAGGTGTGTATACAAGGTGGCCATCGCCAGGAAGAGGACTGTTTCCTGACAGCAGATGTGTTGGCCTTGGAAATGAATCAACAGATGAATCTGTTGTTTAAGTCACTTGGTCTATGGTATTTTGTTATGCAGCCAAAGCAAAGGAAGGAAATACTGATAAAGCTTCATTTTGTTTCCTAATTGCTCATTAGGAGTGGATCTGGGGAAAGGAATTGGATTTCAAGCATGACAAATAGTCTAACTCTGAAGGTAATCATTTCAGGCTTTAAAAGCGTGGGGGCAGGCACTGGGAGTGCCAGGTTTGTTAGAATCTGCCTCTTCGGTGCTATTTGAGAACTGCAGCTGTGAGCTAAATATGATCCTTAGATTTGAGACTCTGTCTCTCTGAACCTGAAAGAAAAAAGCTATCGTTATTAGTTATGTACATGCAGCCTGTTTAAAATCTCTGGACCACACTGGTACCTGATGTGCAATCTCATTTGTCTCAGCCTAGAAATAACCTTTGACCCTGTTCCTATGCCATGAGATGGCTATAAAGTACAGTCAACCTTTCAGATTACTGTCAGCATCTTCATTGTCCATTAAACAAGCAGAGGGCAAGGAATCCTAATTCCCTATTAGTTATCTCAACTCTACATATCAGCAGGACATTAAAATGAAGCCAGGTAGACTTTCAAGGTGACTTTAAAATCCACATTTGCTTGAGGTTAGAGTAAACAGATTCCTTACATAGCTTTGATATTTCCAGTACCCGAGTGTGGAGCATGGTTTAAATGTTAACAAAAATCTCAATCTTAGGGTTTTTTTGCTAACATTTCAGATAATTTGTTCTTTCTGGGACTTCCTGGTTCCCTTGAGATGCATCCTTTGGTGTCTTCTGCACTGTAAGGTCTTCTTTTTGGAGGACATCCAGATCTGTTGGGCTCTGTTTGTCACCTGACTTGAATTGCACTGTCGCTCAATGTTTAGAATCCAAAGAGAAAAAAAATGATCTATTGTAATACAAGAAAGCACGGGTAGGAGTCTGCACTAACAGCATTGGTGTCAAGTGGTGTTGAGGATTTAATTTTGGTTTGCTACTGGTATTTGAAATAATTCTGCCCCACATTCTTTGTCTCGGTGTCTTTATGATAGTAGATTGTTTAAGAGATTCTATGTGCTAAGCCTCCCCATGGAAGGATAAAGATTTTATTTCCAGATCATGGCCACTACAAGTTGCTACTGTCAGACACAATGAAGAGAAGAAGGAGATGAGAAAATGATCAGAGCAAACAAGACCAGAAAGTTTCTGACATTTGGTAGTAAGCCCAAAGATTCCTGGAAAGCCTCTTGTGGGCTCCCTAAATCTTGGGAGTCAAGTTTGCTGAACACTGTTGTTTTCTAAGTTAAGGCCTTACAGAGCCTTTCTCCAAGTGGGTCAGTTTCTATTGTTTCCTGATGACTTTCCTCATTAAAGCCTTACAAAACAGGAGCTGCGGCAGTCACAGGGAGATTTCACACAACTTTCACCTCAAAGTCCATGTCTGAGAACTGGAAATGGTGAGACAGCTGGTGGGGTCACTCTGTAGCTGTTAGTGGACTCAGACCACAGTCTTAATGAATGGTGTTGATGTTTCAAGAATTACCAGTTAGTTCATATTAGTTTGAGAGGTTTTCTAAGCTTAGGATGCTTTTACAAGGCAAAGAAATACTGAAAGTAAGGCAAAGAGTGAAGCATCAGGTGACTTTTGTGGTGTGCTTTCTGGTCCAGCTCAAAACACTTCTTCGAAAACTGACCCATCTGAAGTAGTGTGACCAAGTGAAAGGTGAGAAAAAGTTCTTAAGATATCCTGATGTAATTCTTCTCATTTGTAGTGGTGATCTGCTATGGTAATCTGCTAGTGAAATAACTCATGGTCAGAATACTCATGTCTTGGGTTTTCCAGTACATAATACTCCTATCTCTTCCCTACCCTAAATTTAGAAGTTTGGAGATTTGCTGAATATGCCCCTTGTTCAGGCTTCATGAGAAACGGTATTATTAAAGTACTGGAAAGTATATGGATCGTTGATAGGTTCTGTCAAAGACGGAAAAATACAGCTATGTGACAATGGGAAAGGTGTCTTTCTAGATTTCATTTCCTTACTTGATAATTGGAGGCAATACAGTATAGATGCATTATGTAAATGAGTTAAAAGGAAATAACATGTAAAACATCTAGTGTTATGTAAAATATTATTTAGTATTGGACTATATAATATTTATTATTATTAGCCCTATAATTATTGCAGTGGTATTATTTGACCTGTTATCACAAATAATAAGACACAGACACCTATTAGATTTTATAATTGCCTTATTACCTTGGGCCAGGCAGATATTTCTACCTACTCTATCTCAATAACCTCACCATCCATCTCCCAGCCCCCATCCAGTGCCATCTGTCTTAATCATTCCTATCTAGGCGACCTTCCATCCATAATCCCAAGATACTTGCTTGTATTCTTCATCTGGACTTTTCATGTCATTATTGGAGTTCTTCCTCCTGGCCCACATAGTTTCTTCTCCCTGCTAATTTATGGCACCCTCTTCCCTCTTCTCTTCCCATTCATCTCTCTCCCATGATTCTCCTGTTCTCAAAAGCTTGGGAACCCTAACCACACCTATCCCATTCTGCCTGCCCAAGTATAGGCCTTTAATCACCCAATAAGGTATAATGTCTTAGGCAGGTTTACAAAAAAAGGACAAGTGTATCTGGGCAGTAACCAGATCTTGAGGGCCAGTAATTAGCATCAAAATAAAGCATCAGAACAGGCCCCAACAATCTTGAAAAACATGTGACACACAGGCGAACTCTCTGTCACTATTCACATTGCTCTGAAGGTAGGATCAACTGAGCACAGTGGCAGAAGCTTGTAATCCCACCACTTGGGGGACAAAGGGAGGAGGATCAGGAGTTCAAAAGAAGCCTCAGTTAAATAGCAAGTTGGAGGCCAGCTGGACCACATGCAAACCCATCTCAATAATTAATTAATTAATGTAGAAACAGTTCATATATATATATATATGAAATATGATATATATGAAATATGATATATAACAGTTCATATATATATATGAACTGTTATATATCATATTTCTTCTCTAACAAAGTTCTACTGAGGCACAGATGGTTTAAATTAGCTATCATAAAATGTATTTAATTCAATCCCAATAAACACAAAAGCAAATTATTCTTCCATCTCACCTTAGTTGCTTCACTGATGATTTGGAACCTGGTGCTGTCCTGTTCCGTTGTGGCTGAGCCTAATAAAGCCCGGTAGGTGGTATTCTTGGAGAGATGCTGCTTTTGCCGCCTATAGATATATATATTGTACTGTTTAGTTTTGTCAACTTGACACAAAGTAGAGTCATTTGGAAAGAGGGAACCTTAAGTGAGAATATGCCTCCATCAGACTGGCCTGTAGGAAAGTCTGTGGGGGCCTTTTCTTGATTCAGTTATTGATGTGGGAGGGTCCAGCCCGCTGGCTGTGGGGTGATGCTGCAGGTGGAGTAAGGCAGCTGAGCAAGTCAGTAAGAAGCACCCCTTCATGGCCTCTGCCTCAGGTCCTGCCTCCAGGTTCCTGCATTGAGTTACTGCCCTGACTTCTCTCACTGATAAGACTGATCCGGAGTTTATAAGATGAAATAAACTCTTTCCTCCCCAGATTGCTTTTGGTCATAGTCTTTATCCCAGCAACAGAAAGCAAACTAATACAAGTATACAGGTGTATGAGAACTGCCTGTGACTGACTCTTTGCACCTAATAGGCTATATCACCCCGTGAATGTCAGTAAATCGCTATCACAGTAAGGACTGGCAACAGACAGTATTGGCGCTCTTATAAAGTGCCAAGAATACATTACTGGAGTTCTAATAAAATTATTGCCAAAATAATACTAATTTCAACATAATACTGCTTAAGAATGGTATCTTGTCTCCTTTACTGAGAAAGCGGGCGATTTTCTTTCTTTTGGCATGTGTGTATGCATGTACAGATACATGTGACTCTGTAGGCACATGCACATGTAAGACTTGGAGGTCAGAAAAAACCTCAGGCATCATTCCTTAGGGGATGCCCATCTTCTTATTTTTCAGCCAGTGTCCTTACTAGCCTGGGGCTGGCCAGCAAGGCCTAGATATCTGCTTGTCTCTGCCTCCCCAGTGCTGGGGATTGCAAGTACCCATGACTGGCAGTTTTCAGTTTTACAATAGGTTCTAGGGATTAAACTCTTTTGTCTTTTTGTAAGTACTTTACCAAATAAGCCGTTTCCCAGCTCAAATTTGAAAAATAACTTTTATGAACTTAAATTTCCTCCTCCTTTTTAGGAAATAGACCTTTAGTAGTAAAGACAGTGAGTGAAATAGAAACTTAAAAATATATAGAACAATTTTTGCTGGTGGCATAGCACCTTTAACCCTAGCACTCAGAAGACAAAAGCATCAGGTTGTTGTTCAATGCCCGTCAGAGCTATATAGTGAGACACTGTCTCAAACACTAACCAAAACAGAAGAAAAAGCAAAAACAAACAAACAAAAAAACAAACCTCAAAATCAATCAAACAAAAATTAATTTTGATGATTTTTTTTTTTTTTTTATGATTTCAGTTTCAGAATCACATAAAAGTAGGTATGTCAGGCTCTTGGACCAACTAAGACATGGATCTCACCAAAGCAGAAAATTTAAAAAGTGATTTTTAAAGGCACTGTTTTCTAGGCTCAGATAACCTCACAAAATGTTAAAGTAAGTATAAAAGATCCCTCCAGAGGGAAATCTCCGCAGTTAACACATTTCTAGCTTATTTACTCTTTGGGCCAGTAACTGAATTCCTAGAATTTCTCTCAGTGCTAAGGATCAGGACAGCGCCTTGCCTGTGATAAGAAAGTGCTGTACTGCTGAGCCAATTCCCAGCTCCACTCCTAGAAATCTGTCTCATCAGAGTATAGGAAATGACATACACAGCTCTTTATATGGTGGTGCTCTCATAGCAAACGATTAAAAAGAAACAATAGCCCAAGGTTCTAGCAAGTGGAACTAGAACAAAATAAATTACAGTGAATCTACCCAGTGGAATACTGTAAGCACAAAAACAGAGGGAAATCCCCACGTCCTGAAGGGGTAGCTGTCCAGACTAAAATATAAAGCAGGGGAAGGGGACACAGAGAACATCATATATAAAAACTTATGTGTAGGTATAAGGAAAAAGGTGATATAGCTATATCATATTTTGTAACTACATATACTATATATATGTATATATATACTATATATATATGTAGTTACAAAAATACTGGAAGGATAAAGAAATCAATAAATATGCTTACTTGAAGGGACAAGATGAGAACTGGGATGGAAAAGTAGGGGTAAGATTAATACTTTTAATATGTATCTTTTTATGTGATTTCCAAACCAAGTAAGCACAATATCTTTGAAAAAAGACACATTTAAAATTTTATGTAAAAGTATTTTGGTTTTTAAAATAAAACACAATTTAAATAATTTCATAATAAGTATATAAAGGATTCATTAGATTTCCTAAAGACCATATTCTTAGCTCCTCAGTTCTCAAAAGTTTAGTGGAATTATTATTTTGGAATTCTGTCAGGAATGTTTTCTGGGTGATTTATTTACTTACCTGTAGAAAGCAATCTTGCTACAGTCTCTGAAAATGGTTTTATCCACAGCTTCATCTTCAACGCTAAATAAGAAGACATTTTAAAAAATGTATTTTACATAAGATCTGTGGGCTCAATTTTTGTTACCTTCCCTAATTATAGTATAGAGGTGTAAAATAAACTTTTGGAATTTATTCTGCATTGCAGAACTGTTTCGCTGCTGTAACATAAGACTTCAGGGAGGTGACAATATGTATGCTGCAGAACAGTAGCCTTTTGCAAAACTATCAAAATGAACAACAGAATATTTTCACGGGCTTGGTCTGAAAGTCATGGAAAAGGAGCACTGCCAAGTATGAGGGAGGGGGCTTTAAAAATAATAGCCAGAACACCAAGATCTGAAATCTAGAGCTAAACCAAACAACCAACACTCACGTATTTAAACAGCAAAATATTTTCGGAATATATACTTCCTGGGAGTTTAGACCTGAAGAAGACACAGAGTACCTAAAAGTTTTGTTAAAGTGTAGCATGTAGCCACAAGATAAGGCTCCAGGTCCTCTAAAAAAGGTGTGCACCAGGTTCTAGAGTCAGAGTAGGAACAAATACAAAAGAAATAAAAACTGCCAAGATTCCAATAATCTAGAGATTAATACTCTTAAGACCAAGTTTCCAGAAGAATTGCATCTGGAATAAAATAAAATAAAAAGATATACGAAACTACTTAAATTTATAAGTACTTCAATTAGCCTAGTTAAAACAGCTACCAGCTACAGTGGGCTTGGGGAGCACTAGCTTTGGTGAAGAGGTGTGGCTTTCTGCACCTGCAGTTACCATGTCCACAATTTTGAAGGAACTAAACAGGTCTGGAGAGACAGAAACACTCACTTAGCCATGCCAAGAAACTTTGATAGTGAAAACAAAAAACAGAACAAAACAACAACAACAACAACAACAAAAAACCCTTCTTTAAACTCAGTTTCTGGCACTGTTCATTTTAATCAAGTGTGCAAACATTAGGAGACCTTGCAGTCTTCCGTTTCCAGCTTTGAAGAATGAGCTCTGGAATGGCATAGGAGACGGAACCACTTAAATGTGGGACGAAGCACGCTTAAAATCTATGTCTTGGAAGTCTGGAAGACACCTTTCCGTTGTTAAAGTTATCTAAACCTCCTGGAACTTTATGAGAGGTTAAGCTATTAACATTACCCAACTCCCCGCAGAACAGAGAAAGAACGATGACGCAAATGCCAGCCATTCAAGGAAGTGTGATTAAAACTTAAGTGAAGCCATTAAAGCTAGAAGGTTGTTTTTGGAGTCAGTTCCTGTGGGAGCAATTGCCCTTTACCTGATTTTCTCTTTCTCAGCTGCTTCCATGGCTTCCCTGTCAACTCTGCCTGGCAGTTAACCCTCGGGCCGCAGCCTCAGGAGATATTTAAAAATAGGTAACAAGCAGACTTGCTGAATTATGACCCATAAGAGTCCCCTCCAGATGTTTACGGGGCGGGGGCCAATCGACTTTTTCTCCGGCGCAAACCAGCGTGTTTACAGGGATACACTTGGCAAATATTCTCGGTTGTGAGTGACCGATTAACCTTGCTTTTATTGGCGGAGGAGGCACGCACGCAAAGTGCTCGGAGGTTAAAGTCTAGAGCGTGAGAAACAGGAAGCCCCAGGACGGGTCGGTCTCTGCGACTGTCACTCTGCTAGACCGAAAGCGGACCCGCTCCCTCCCCACTCTGAGCTCTGAGAGGGAAGCGCCGCCCGGATAACTGCCGTAACGCCGATGTCGCCGGTCCAACTGTGCTGCGGCTGACGCACGGCCTGGCAGCGCGGGAAGGGACTTCCGAGCTCGAGGACCGTTTCCACTCCGGCGCTCCCCAATTCCAGGGTCTGCTTCCACAGCGCCGCGGCCGGGGAGCTCACTTCGGGGTGTCAGTCAGGCCCTCAGCGCGCGCGCTTCTGCAGACTTCTGACCCGCGCCTGACCTTGGAGAGGACGAGGGCGGGGAAAACGCGGGAAGCGAAGACCTAACCGCGGCCCGGGGTAGCTCTCCTCCGGGCGACGCTCGGAGGGAGCCAGGAGCACGCCTGCGCAGTAGGCGCCAAGTTCCGGAAGCGCGCTGACGGTCCGAGGGAACCGCGGTTTCGAGGACCCGGATCATCCCGCCCACGGAGCAGAGCCGGAAGAGGGTAGGACGAGCCGGAAGAAGGCGGGACTAGCCAGCCGGAAGGAGGCTCAATGCTTTGGGTAGACGCTCCACGGCCGTGAAGATGGCGGTGGCTGCGTGGCTTCAGGCGTCTCCTGTCATTTTCCTCCTTTTGGTGGCGCAGCCGTTCCCACGGTCGTCTTTCGGTGCAGGGCCGGCGTCCGTGTATGCCGCAGACAGGTCCAAGTGGCACGTCCCGATGCCGTCGGTGAGTGTCGGCGTCGCCGCCGAGCCTGGCGGGGTGAAGAGGTGGGGCTACGGTGGCCCAAGGGGTCCAGGATGGTTTCGGGAAAGTCGGATTCCCAGGGCGGGTGGGATCCCCGGGGGCTCGCTGTAGCTGCCGGCAGCTGGGAGCTGCGCTGTTCGCCGCAGGCCGGGAGGTGTGTCAGGGCCGAGGGTGTGCGTGTTCTGACCGGGAAAGTAACAGAACTTTCAGCGCGGAACTTGAGAGGAACTTGATGCCCAGGTAGATAGGAGTTTCTCTCTCAGCTAGAATGTCAGGTAACCCAGGGTTGGATGAAAGGGACATGTATATAGGGGTCTTTATTTTTAACTCCAGTGTTTAGTTTTTATTTATTTATTGACATGAGGTGGTTTGATTTGGTTTAAAACTTCGACATGTTTTTGTGATGAGGGGACTTTTTGGGATTGAAAAAAAAGAAAAAAAGAAAGGAAAAGAAAAGGATTTTAACATGGGAGTAGCCCAAACGGAACAATTATAAAATGTAATATGGTAAAGATAGTTTTTCGTTTGGATAGTTAACTGACTGTTCGACATATTCCCCCTCCCAGTTTTAAAACCTCGCTTGAACCACGAAAACCAGAGTTTGGCGAGAACTGCTTTAAATGCCATTAGCCGGTTTTTGTTGAACTTTTTTTTTTTTCTTCTTTTTTTTTTTTTTTAATCCTGCTCACTGTACATTTATATGGCAGATATTACAGCTTTTATTAATTTGGGGTCTTGAATTGTTTTCTGTTACTGAAATGATTAATAGTTAAGTCCTTTTGAGTTTAAAAGTCAAACTGCTGAAAGGTTATTTGAAAGTAATGATTGGTTGTTCTGAGGGGTGATTAGTGAGTAAAGAAATGGAACTGTACATCTCATGACGCTTTTAAGTTAAACAAATTTGTAGCAGCCTCCCTTGTATAGTTCCTGCTTTATGGCCTGTGGGGAGGAAATCATGACCACACTGAGGGGCAAGGGCCAATAGTTAGGATGGGACTGACTTTCACTAAAAGAAAAAGTGTTGCTGTCCTTGTGATTAAAAAAATTGATTTGAATATTTTATAAATTTAGGTATTCATCGTCTACCCTGAAAATGAAAATTCTGCCATGCTGATTATCTTTCCTTTATCTTTGCAGGGAAAAAATTATTTTGGTTTTGGAAAGATTCTTTTCAGAAATACTACCATCTTACTGAAATGTGAGTTTTTAAATTTTATTACTTGAACCTCTTAAACTTAGAAACTTATTTTCTGCCTTAGCCTGCTGTGTGTGTTTGTGTGCATGTGTGTACATCCATGTATGCATATGTGTGTATATGCATGTAGAGGCCAAAGGTAAATTACTTGTGTCTTCTTCAGTTGCTGTCTACCTGTTTTTTTGTTTTTGTTTTTGTTTTTGTTTTTTGAGACAAGGTCTCTCCCTGAACTTGGAGCTTGCTGATTGGCTAGACTGGCTGACTAGCAAGCCTCAGGGATCTGCCTGTCTGTTTCTCCCCAGCACTGGGATTACAGGCATGGATAGTATTTTTACTTGAGTGTTGGAGATCTGAACTCAGTTCTTGATGCTCGTGTGGTAAGCAAGCATTTTACCAATAAAGCCATCTCCCTAGCCCCTTAATGTATTTTTCAAGTCCAGAATTGTAATAGCCTGGCACTGTGTAGGTACAAACTTTCAGTATATATAAAGTCCTATCAGTGACTAATATTCAGAGTACTTGTATGAATTTTTATTCTCTTCTTTTCTGTTTTTCCGTTTTCTTTGTTATGAATAGATCCACTATTCTCTGTAGCTTATATTACATGTTTTATATGTTACATACTCAGGGTAGTCTCTTGAGTTCATGTTGGCTACAGTGCTGTACAGTGTACATATACTTTTACGTACAATATTATGTATTTATTTAATCACATTTCATTTGAATTATATTCAGTCTTGTTGGTTGGGTGCTTGCATCACTATTCAGTGTGTTCTGAGTCAA